GGGTCACGGGCACGGCCCCGGCTGCGATCCGGTATACAGTTGGCGATGCATGCGTGCACACACACACACACACACCCCGCAGGTGGTCTTTGCTCCTCTCCTGCTCTGCAGAGCTGGTTCTGCCGCGCGGGGAGGGCTCGTGGGTCATGTCAGGAGTGGGGGCACCCTTTCCAACCCCCGGGGCTCCCTTTCTCGTGGGTGCCCGTCACGCGTGGTGCCCCGCGGGAATCAGACGTGCAGGTCGCCCCGCGGGGCTGGCGGCGTCCAGGGGCTATTGTCTGCGGCCGCGCGGATCGATCCGGCGCGCCCTTGGGTCAAATATCACTTCCAAAGTCGCTCCAGCCCGCCCGCTGGAGGGACGCCCGGGTGGATCGGGATGGCTGCCCTCGCAGGCGGCGGGGGGCTGCTGTGCACGGGGGCCTGGGCCTGTCCATCAGAGGGGCACCCCATGGACTCTGGGTCACCGGAAGCCGACGCCGGAGGACCAGCAAGGCCACCGGAATTGACCGCACCCCCCACTCCGGGGCTGGTGCAGCCTTTGGGATCCGGGATGATCCTTTAAACTTTGGGGCCGCTGTAGGAGTGAGAGACCCGAGGGAGATGCGGACCCCTCTGTCGGGCCTGGCAGGGCGTGGCCTTGCTTACTGGCAGCCTCTGGGGACAGAAAGTCCCTTGGAGAAGAGGTTGGGTGCTCCTCAGGGGTTGCAAACCGCTTTCTGTCTAGGCATGCAGAAGACCAGCTCTGAACCCCCAGGAGCCTGTAGGACTTTAGAGCAGGGCAGACATCTCCCAGTTACCCAGAGCTGAGCCCCAGAGAAGTTGGGCTGGAAGGGTCCTGGCCCCGTGGGCTTAGCAAGTGGAGCTGTGGGGGCTGGGATGTGGAGTTGGTGAGATGAGGAGTTGATGGAATATAAAGTTGAGCTCCCCCCCCCCCCCCTAGGGGTTAGGGGTTATCAGCCGGTTAGTTGGGGGCTGCCACCATGCTAGAATTTGGACTTAGTGGGGACCTGCTTTGCTCCCCTCCTCCAGCTGTAACTGGGCCACCAGACTTTGGCCTCATTCTTGTGTCTGGAAGGAATTGCTGGGTCTGGCTGGGTCTTTGGGGAGAGTGGAGGGGGGTGGGGCAGGTTCCAGGTCCCACCTGCTCTCTGGGTTCCTTAGTACCTATGTTGTGTGACCTTGTGTGGTCAGGGTCCCTCTCTGAACCTGAGTGGGTCAGCAGCTATCTGGAGGGGGCCATCAGGAAGTGGCCTCAAAAGCCCTGGCAGGCAGAAGAGGAAGCCCCAGATGAGGGTTTAGTGGACTGCACTGTCAGGTGAGCTCACCCAGGACCAACCGAGGCAAGTGGGCCTCGATGTGTTCGGCTGAGAGCAGCAGGAGCCACAAGCAGTGTGTGAGCAGGGTGTGCTCAGATTGGGTTGGGAGTTTAGCCATGTGTGTCATGGAGTCCCAGCCACTCAGGAAGCTGAAGCAGGAGGATGGCATGAGCCCAGGAGTCTGAAGGCAGCCTGGATAGCATAGTGAGGAGACGGCCTCCCTCCATCCCAAAACAACAAAAAATACAAAGGCTGGACAGCGATTGGAATTAGACCGTATCTTTGGGCAAAGCATATACACTTTAGGTGAGGTAGCTGTGTTTCATGGGTTTTAATCTGTCCCAGCCATACTGTCAGGAAGGCAAGACAGAAGGCCTTCCCTGAGTAGAACTGCTCACCCACCCAGGGCCTGGCCAGTTCCGCCTGGCCGCCCTGATCCTCCACCACCGCCTGCTTGCTGGCTTTGTTCTGGCCGTGCCTGAGTTCTCTCCACCCCAACTGGGCCCCTTCCTGGGTTCTTTAGAAGCCACAGGGTCTGGGCTCTAATAACCCTGGCCAGAGAATCCCACCTGGGGCCGGAGGCTATCCCTGGAGCCCCCATCCCAGGACCCCTCTCGTGTATAGCGAGCACAGCAGCTGGAGCCCGGTGCAGGAACAGGCTGGGGAAGAGCCAGTGCACTCCTACTCTGTGTTTGGCTGGATGTTCCTGGTGCTCAGACTGGGTGGGCATGGCGAGGCATTCTCCAAGAATCCTGGGCTGGAGAGAGGAAAAAGCTCTGTTGCTCATTCATTCTTATCACAGGCTGAAATGCTGGCTGCACAGTGCTCTCGGCCTGATAGTGGTCATGTGAAATGAAAAGGATTCGTTCTCTGTCCTTTTGAGTTTCAAATCTGTTTCACCTTATCCTCTGCCAGAAAAGGCTTCTCCATTTCTGCCCTCTTGGAGAACTTCTATTCAGACTTCAAAACCCATTTTCTAAAGTGCTCTCCTTGTGTGCTGGCCTTCAACACCCATTGCCACGAGATTGCCTTTTCCAAGCTGGGAGTCTGAATTCTTACACCATGCCTCTCGGCTACCATCGAAGTCCAGGGAGCTCCAGTGGGGGTGTTTCTAAATAAAGGGTTCACAGTCACAAAGGATGTAGGTGTCACTGGGAACCTGGCCTCTGTCTCCAGGTCTAACCGTGACTGTCAGATTGACCAGCACCATCGGAACCAGTGTCAGTACTGCCGCCTCAAGAAGTGCTTCCGGGTCGGCATGCGCAAGGAGGGTGAGTAGCCATGGAGCGTGGCCACAGCTGGGCTCTGGCTGGGGTCTGAGAGTGAGCAAGGTGTTCCCCTCTGGGGCCCCAGGTTGTGGGATGCCGCCCTCTGGGCTCTTTCCCCAGACCCTGCCTGACCTCCGATCTCAGAGGATTTTTATTATTATCATTATTAATTTAATGTGTTTACTGTCTGTTCTGTGTGTTTGCTGGAGACAGGACTCAGCTAGATTATAACCAAAGGCTGCCAGAGGGAGGCCCAGCTGCCTGTCCCTGCCCTGGAGACCTGGGTGGACACACTGGACACCTGGGCCTCATTCTGTCAGGGTCTCTTTAGAATTCAGGTACAACCCAGGGGCAGCCACAAAGAGCCCTGAGAGTTGAGAGCCTGGGCTGATGGAGGAGGGGAAGCTCTGGGGTGTGGGTCAGGCTAGAAAGTCACCTAACTGTTGCTTGTTTTGACATTGATCACTTTCTTGGGGGGGGATTTGTGGACCCGAGAATGGCCACTACTTAAGGTCTTCTACCTCAGACTGCATAGTCAGGCATAGTGGGGCAGGCTTGTCATCCCAGTACTTAGAGACTGAGGCAGGAGGCTCTCCAGTTTGAAGTCAACTTGGGTTCCATAGCAAAACCTGGTTAGAAAAAATGACACATCCATTCACACACAGTGAAAAGCATCAGCCTTATTTGTTGACTCTTTGGTCCCTTTAAGTTTGAAGGTGACTCCTGCCCTGTCCTTGCCCAGCCCGGATTCCTGTCTCTACTTGTCTGTTAGATGGAAGTCCTGATGGGTCTCTAATCAGAGCCTGTGATCTCTCTTCTATCACTAGGACTCTTGCTCCCAGTGCCTTCCTGCCTCAGGGCCTTTGCACAGCTGTGCCTTCCAAATTTGGGCCTGGCTTCCTCCCTCACCTTAGAGTTATGTCCTCTGGGTCACCAATTATGTCTGCCTTGCTCAGAAACTGACACCCTTCACCTGCTCCAGGGTCTGGTACACAGTAGGTGTTCAATAAAAGGCTATTGGCTGGATTTACCATCCACCCGGCCCAGACAGGCACTATTAGAAGCAAAGTTATGTAGATTCTCACATAGCTCAGTGGTCCTGTGCTGCATTTGACAAAAGGAGAAACTGAGGCAGAGAGCAGATGGGTGCTGGGATTTGAATTCCATCAGTCTAGACTAGATAGAGGAAGAAGAGAAGGACAGAGGAGGAGTGGGGTTTTGAGGCTTGGAACATCCAGGGCAAAGGCCTGGGAGTGGGGCTGGATGAGGGAGCAATGGTGAGAGCGGGCTTTACATCCTGTGAGCAAAAGGAGCTCCCAAGGACTGTGGGCCCACTTGGGGCCATGTCTAGCTACAGGTGGCTGGGAGACTCCCCGTGTATCTGTTATTTGGCCTGGGTCCCTCCCAGTGTCCCCTGCATTCCTAGCTCTGTCTCCACCTGGGTTGACCTGCAGTTCACCCACCAGTGAGACAGGTGTCGGTTCATTAAAGCACACTCATTAGCAACCTCCTGGCTCCATGCCCAGGCTGTCTTCCTCAAGCTAAAACCTGTGCTCCTCGGTGCCTCAGTTTCCTTTTCACCCCATCCATGACGGGAACTAAGATAAGTATTGTCTTCTAAGTTATTTTCTGAAACAGGGTCTTGTGTAGCCCAGGTTGGCCTCAAACTCATTTTGTATTGGGGCTGGCCTTGAACCCCTTTACCTTCCTGTCTCCATGCTCCAGGGCTGGGATGACTAGTATGCACCACTCTGGGCAAAGGTAACAATGGCAGCCACTGCCCTTGGGGATCATAGCCGTGCCACTTTAGTGATTGGTCCCCCAGGGGAGCGGTGAGTGGTGGGAGAGGCCAGACACAGATCCAGTCCCTGGTGATTGGCAGGTGTGGTCTCCACAGTGCAGGCGGAGGGGGTCCCGCTGGTGGAGACCCTGGGTGCGGGCGCGAGCAGGCAGGGCCCTAGTGGCCAGCACGTGCCTAGTCCCCTGTGCTGCCACGCGGGGTGGGGGTGTCCCTCCCGCACAGACCCCTGACGCCGCCCTGTCTTCG